ATAAAATTAAATGTATAAGTTTTACCTACCGATTGGTAAAAATAATAGTATCCTAAAAATACTTTTTTTCTTTATTTAAATATACAGGATATAATTCTAAATCATTTTAATGTTCTTTAAGTTGGAGTATGGGGTTAGGTTAACTCTACATGATGAGGTAATTACTACTTATTCGTAATACTATCAAAAGTTAATGTAAATATTGTGTATTGTTATACGAATTATTAGAAAAGATCTCATTAATTTATTGTAATTATTAATTAAATGATTATAAATTTTCAAATATAATTTTCAAAGTTACTATCATTTGTACATTTCACGCTTCAAAATACGTTTTTCAATGTTTTTTTTTTTATTAATTGTTTATGGCATCAACTACGTGGTTATTAGCCGGCGTTATATATTAAATTTACATTCATTACTTACATACTTGCTTAATTTCTACTTATTACCTATATTTAAAGATTTACATTTTAATCTAAGTTAGAATATTCAAATCAGTTGACGCATTTCGGTTGAGTTGACGAAATTGAAGAGTTTTTTGGTCGTCTCGGGAGTGGGTGATAGCATCTCGTATAGTGTATCGGGTAGTTTTAGTTCAATGCGCCTTTCACTGAATTTATGACATTCTGTTAGTATATGCTTGACTGTAATGATTGTTCCACACGTCAGCCACGATGGAGGGTCTTCTTTGGCCAATGATGTTTAGATTTATATTAAGCATACCTATTACGAAATTTATGAATACAAAATTATTGCAGATTGTAAATTACTAATGCATTTGTCACTCATTTTATAGAAAGTTTGCATTGGAAAAAATAATTTATTTTTATTTTATGTATTAAAAAAAATATGAGCATTTTAATGAAGATTTAATGAAAACAATAACATATTATATATTTTATTAATTCATTGGTGAGAAATGTTAGGAAAATTTTACTTACTACAACCAAATATGAGTAAGTACGTAATAGATATATATATATCTTCTAGCCGTTATAATAAGTATTTTATTAAATTCATAAAATATACAATAAATGTTGTCTATATGATTGTATTACAATCAAGCACCGTGCGAACTACTTTTTCTGAATTCCGTAGTTAAAGGTACATGAATTAATTTATACTACAATTATTGGCACGTTGGAAAATATTTGAAGTGGAATATATTATTGTTATTTATTTGATAATGGTCAATATTTGATTGGGTTTAACACCGATGATTATTTACTAACACTTAAACTATCAAGGACGACTTGTTTAATTTTGTTGTTAAAAACTAAAAAGTTTGAAATTATCGATGCAAATTGGCATATTATTGTTGAGAAGGATATGATATTTTATTATTTTCCATATTTGATAACGATATAGGAGGAACATCATATGTAAATTAAGTTCAAAACTAATTACAATTTTTAATTTTACACACTCACATTCGTGATGGTTCTCACGTAACCCATCGTTGTTGTGTAGCAATACAATTATGATATACTATCTTTGTTATGTAAAACTCATTACAATAATTTCTTCCACGCCATTAAAATACTATATCCAAGTGCATGTATTACAGTGGTAACTGGGCAACTTTTATGTGTTTATCATTTTTTAATTCGTGATTGAGCGTCAACATAATTATATTTTCCTTATGTGTCTTGATTAAACCATTATGTGATGGTTTATACAAATCTATGTAGTCACGTGTTTGTGGTTTATTTTTAACTAATTTAACTATTATTGAATGAACGTTTACTGACAGTATTTAAAATATAATTGTTTCAACTATTTCATTGTACTCTTTAAGAAATAAAAATGCCAGTTTTGATCTGTATTAAATATAATAACAAATAATAAAATATCTATAGATATAATGGACAGACCAAACATATGAAACTAGATATAGTATTAATTAGTTTTAAAAAGTTTTAAAAAGTTACGATAAATATTTTGGTCCCGCAGTTCATGAAGGCAGTGAGCATGTATATGATTTTTGATTCATGGCAGTTAGTAGTAACCTGGCTAGAGAATTAACTGGCTTATAACCTTCTATTCCAATTAATCTATTTTTTATTGAGCCCCTTGATCTGGGTCAAAACTACTTCACTAACTATAAAGTTTTACTGAATAGTTTTAAATGTTTAAATAGTCAGATTACYGTTAACACTTAAATAATCAATATTTTACAATGTAGAACAAACCGTAAAACATATTTCAAAATACGTTGTTTTTTAAATAAATATAATGTAATTTATTTGTCATACATTTTTTTTTCTGTAGTAAATTATGTAATTGTATAAATAAATGTATATCGTACAATCGTATGAAATATATACGTGTAAACATATGAAAACCAAAGAATATAAATATATTATAACCAATATATTATTTTATTTATATATTTATTTATTTGAAGAAAAGTTTCGATTAAAAAAAAAGTGATTACCCACTTTAARAATAAAATTGAAATGGGTTGAATACAAAATAAGTCATCCTTCCCAAGGTTGTGCTTTATCTTTTTTACGGTAGTGACAGTTAATTAGAATGGAGAAAAAACAATTGTTTCTTTTCATTTGAACGCTTTTAAAAAAGTTAAGCGACAGTATTAAAGAAAACATAAAAATTGTTTTTAACCATAGTTTTTGTAAAAACATCAATTTTTGAAACTTATAAATAAATATTAGCATCTTTTGTTTATGCAAATTACTTATTACACACATAACTTAATTCAATATCACTTCATAAGATTAGTCTTATTGACTATTTTTAGATAATAATTGGTTAACACTTAAATTTAAATATAACTTAAATTTATATACGTTTTATATTTTAAATAACAATAACATAAATAAAATTTATGAAGGATACCATAAAGGTCGATAAATGTTAAGGATTGGAAATAAGAAATTGGAATTTTATCAGTCATGATAATTTWAAAAAAAACTACAAGTAGTTATGTTTGAAAATATTTTGTAAATGAATTTATTAACAGACAACTAAAATTATGTAATATTTAAAGGTTACAATAAAATATTAGGGTCGATGGAAACACGGTCGTCCGTGTGATACACTGGAGAGTCTATAAACCCTAACTCATTTTTGTATTTTATCAGTGATTGGCGGTATTTAAGCAACTTATTTTCAAAGTAGTCTATAGCTTTTTCGAATTTGCTTAATTTTTCACTTATATCTAAATTGAGGTTATCTTGGTCTTTGTATAATGAACGGTAGTCGAAAGCACTTCTTGCAGAGCCAATTAAATTTAATAAAGCTTGGTTCATAGTGTATACACTTTTCTTGAAATCATTGAAGTTTGGAGTGGAGATTGGATAGTAGGGCATAGATGGCAAGTACATTGTTAATGTTGGCGGTTGCTGGAAATCAGCTTTGACATAAGCCAGAATCTGAAAAAAAAAATTGTTTTAATACTCGGCAATTGATTGGAAATGTACAAACGATTATAAAATAATAATAATTTAATATATTTCAACTTTTCAATAAAATCTTTGAAAAATGAAACTTTTATATTACATTTTTAAATAAAAAATAAACATAAAAAACTTATTTTTTTGTTTTTAAGATATATAATATTATATTATKCATGTTCAGGGTGCAAAATTTATTTTAGATGTTCACGTAAAAATTTCAATTTTACAATTTATTTAATGCAAACTAATAAGTGACTATATTATTATCATCATAACATAAAATATAATAGTTAATAACGTTAAGCGATACAATATAATATAATATTATGAATTATTTCGGAAATGATAGTTATTATTAAAATATACGTACCAGAACGACAGCAAAAACTGAAATTTTAGCCGTCATCTTCGTAACAGTGTTATTTACTGCTGACAATATAGAAAACCCAAAATTGATGTCTAAAGCAGAGACTATGGGTTTTATACAGTTTTTCAAACAGCGTAATTTCGATTATGTTATTTCAGGTGTTTTCAGACGTGATTGTTACCTGTCATCTGCAGTAAAGTGTAACAAAACAAATATGGATTATGCTATTCACTTTAAAATATTGTACAGGTCGATATTGAAAAGCCTACATAGAACCAAGAACAAACACGTTATTAAAACTATGACGATCAAATATTATAGATAGTGAATGGACACAGTCAAGAAGACTTGATAGAGTTATAATAGGATTTTTATTTATTTCTCAAAAACAATATATACACTTTCAATAATATGTTATGTATAGGTTGAATAGTGGTGACCCTGTATATATTTATATACGGTTCAAATGTGCTTTGACTTAAATGACTTTGACTTTCCGTAAAATGTAAATACATTTTGACATTGGTATTGACATATTTACTATTTTAAATAAACATACGTAATATTTTATGGTAGCTATCACAAAATTTTTCCGTGGAAGTAATGATGGTTATTGATTTGATATCTTGAATATTTGACGTCAATAATACTTACATCATTTACTCTTGAATATATGAACCGAAATATATTACGACGATCGAAAAAAGAATTAGGAAATCATTCTCTAGCCTGATATAAATACAATAAGATGGGATTACCTGATTCACACATCCACGCACTCTTATCTTTTTCTCCTTTGAGGTAGAACTTCATACTTTATTGATCATAAAAACTATCTTTATATAATGCATTTTTATGATAAACTTTTTTAGTTGAACTAATTTGATTTAAATTCCAAAATGTATAAGTAATATGTAAGTTAATAATTAGTTTTTAATAATGCTATACCTATTTGGCTAAATGAGCCAATTTTGAACATTACTATGTTTACCAATCTAAAAACAAATATAACTATGAGTGTTTTATGAAATAGTACAAAATCCTAAAATCATGCCTGACCCCTAACAGAAATAAATATATTTACGGTACTTATAATACTTAAGCTAAGGAATTATATTTATTTTATACCTATTTTGATAGTTTGCACCATCATAAATGTTGAATACTTATATTATGTGTGAAACTTGATCAATTAAAATAAAAAGTGTGTGCATTCGATAATAATACTTTTTAATTTATTTACATTGAAAACTGTTAGTAAATTCAATTTTTTAATATTAAAATCTAAATTAATTTTCCCGCCAAAATAAATTTTCAGAGAAGTATTTTGTATTCCCTTCAAGTATAAAACTCATTATATTGCAATACCAACTAATAGCTCTGAGCCTAAAGCTCTTAAATTTTTCTTCTTAATCGTTATAGTATATTAATCTGTGTCTTAATCATTGACATTATTAAATTTGCATTTATATGATAACATTGGTAGGTAGTATAATTTATAATATATATATATATATAATCAGTACTATTTTCGATGATTGAATTTAAAGTAATAGAAGAATTAAATATCCTAGAGTACCCAGTAAAATCATTAACCAAAGTTAAGAACGAAGATAAAACCCCAACCCCACTAATGGCAGTTCAACTGATAAATTATCGTAAATCACAAGAATTTTCAAACTCTGCAAGCTTCTAAATTGCCTAATTAAAACCAAAAACCATGTCGGAAATCGAAAGATTCTCTCCAATATACAAATTTCTAAAGATTTGGTTACTTACACAAACATTGTAAACTCCAAATACGATGTGAGAAATGTAATATCTCACATAATTATTCAAACTGTTGTAAAACATCAGAAATCCCTCCTAACTACGTAAATTGCAATGGAGTTCACCCAGTTTGTTATAAGGGTTGCACCTATTTTAAAAATATCAAAAGAAAAAAAAACTACACCAAAAAAACCCCACTTAACCGAAAATTATCCCTACCATACTCTTAGGAGATTTAAAATCTAAAAATGAAATATGGGGTCGCCTAAAAAACAAACCCAAATGGTAATAAATTATTCCAATTCACTTCTGAATTAAGAATCATACTATTACAACCCTTCAAACCCACCTTCCACATAACAGGTAGACAACCAAACATATTAAACATTTATCTTGTTTCAAATTTCACGACACAATTACATCACAAAGTTTCGAATGAATTAGAGTCTGATCACGCTCCAGTTATCATAACTTTGTATAAACAAATAGTATTAATTTCTCAAACCCCAAAATTAATAAATCGGCCATTTAACTATGACATTTTCAGAGAAAATTAATAAAAGAAAACCAATTAATACGAAGAGTCAAGTAGGAACTTGATAACAATAGATTTAAATCTTACAAAACATATCTATCAATAATGAATCCAAACGCTACAATAAGAATACCTAGTCAAACAAAGGGACACTATTTCTCCGCTTTATGTTGGACTAGCAAACTACGGAACAAACATTAACAAATGCAAAATTTTTACCCAGCACTTTGAAAATTGTTTCACAACTGGGGCTAMTAACACAAATACAACACAGCAAATAGACTCTATAATTACATATTCTACGGAAATAWATACTATCCATCCATGCAGTCCCGAGAAATCAAAATAGATAATAGACAGACTTGCAAATAAAAAAATTCCTGGACACGGCCTTATTACCAATAAAATTCTCAAAAACCTTATCCAAAAAGCCCTCTCATTCTTAGCTAGGCTTTTAAACGGACAAACTCGAGTTGGGTCCCAGATTTCAAAAACAGCACGAGTTGGGTCCCGGTATACTTTATGGAGTACATTAGTTGGGTCCCGGTATATTTTATGCAAAGGTGGGCAAGTTAATGAAAATAATTGAATCAAATTAATTAAAATTAAAGTTAAGATATAAAATAAAATTAACTTAATTCAGTAAAAAATTGTACATCAGTTGGGACTAGCCTATTTGCGTTACCCAGGAGACATTACCGCGGACCCAATTCGAGTATTATCAAATATTACCGCGGACCCGATTCGAGTATTATATCATTTATATCAAATAATACTGCGGACCCTGTTCGATCCTTTTGTCCAAAATTGATTACCGCCGGTCTTGGACATAGGTATGATAAGTGACCGCGCTCGGTAACTCGCGTTGTTGGCAGCACTGACGTGTCCGTCACCCTGGTCCGGGCAACAACGTATACGCCGCCGCCAACGGTCGTCGCTGTTGTTTACGTTTGTTATGATCCGTTCGCCGTTGCGTATTATTCACGTGCTCTTGTGTTAACGGCCATCTTGTCGCCAAAAAGTGTGCTCTCACAACAAGATTATTGTTCTTTTTGCTATTGCTATATCAGCATATTATAAATCCGATCGATTTATCCGTCGACCTCATCGAGCTCCCGATCGAAACAGTTATTTAATATGCAAGTGTCGATACGACGTTGATCCGCGTGTGAGACGTTCCGGTGCTCCCCGTTACTCACGTGTTCTTAAAATCTTCAGTTCCGAGATATAGCCGCTCCGCCTTCAATCGACGATCCACCAGCAGTTCAGCTAAGTCACTGGAAGTTCCGCCCGACATTGAGTGTTCCCTCAGAGCGGTGTTCCCCGCCCCCTTATTTCGCTTGTTAATATACATATTGCATATATATATGTAATTATGTAAAATATATCAATTGTGTCGTTAATATTTAAATCGCTGTTATTCATTACYACAAGGTGTTATCTATTTCTCACAAGGCTCCGGATGACCGTGTGCCCGACGACAACCTTATTAAAAGGCTCGTTGGTACAAACAGACCCAACTCGTGTTTTTTTTAAGAGATCAAATATCTCAGGACCCAACTCGCGTTTTCCCTTTTAAAATCCATTTTAAGAATAGGATATTTTCCAAACACCTGGAAACAAGCAATTATCATTCTTATACACAAACCTGGGAAACTTAAACAGTTTACCGGAAAGCTATAGACGTATTAGTTCACTACCTAATCTCTCCAAACTACCAGATATGATACTGCTACACAGATCGAAACTATACTTAAAAATTATTCCACTTCATCAATTCGACTTCAAACCTCACTACTCCACATGTCATAAACTTCAACGAATATCAGAAACAATAATAGATGAATTTGAAAATTAAATAAAACCAAAATCGTTATCGTGKTTGTACTTTATATCATGTTTATGTTTAATATCATAAGTATTTGACATAGATATTACAATATAATGGGTATATGAGTCAAATATATTAAACAATATTATAATTATRTATAATCATTATTTATCAACCATGCTGAAAAAATGTGATTCTTTGTTTAATAATCTAAATTTATAATGATAGCATATTAAAAGTATAAACGACACGTTCATCTATTATTTAATCGTCATTAATTAATGATTTTTCAATTRAAATCCATTAATTAGTTTCATTCAGAATGAAAATTAAACAAAGAGTAAAATATTATATGACAATATTATATTAKGAGAATGCTAGGTTATTTACATTTTAATTGATTCGATTAAAAATGTAAATCATTCTACATTGTGAAAATAATCAATACACGTTTTACATTGTATGATAATKATGATTTATTAATAGGTATCTACTTATATACGTTACAAGTTAAGCTAGAACAAAAAAAATGTCTGGACAGTTAATACAACATTATATAATACAACATTTTATCAAAACAAAAAAAAAAAATTCCACTAAATAGTTTTTGTATAGTAGTTACATAGAAATAAATTATCTAATTTTCCAGACAATATTGAGTTCAAATACATTAACATTTTTTTTTTAAAAGTTTTTTTTATAAAATTTTTCCATGTAAGATATTTTTGAGACCAAATGAAATTATTGTTAAAAGTTATTATAAAWATGTATTATTATTTTTGAAAAAAATGTCATGCTACTCTGATCACATGTGTATATTGATGTATTTCATTGCGTTTCAATTATTATTTTGATTAGTTTTTAAAACCATGAATAATTCAAAAWTTKTATTCTTTAATCTCTATACAAAACTGCATGTTTGTACGTAGATAATTAGAAATACATATATTTATGATTTATAACCTTTTATTAT